CTATTTTCTCCAACTTGCTTGCACCTGGCTCCCCACCTGCAAGTCAGTGAGCATTCTAGCACCAGTATCGGTGGTGGCTTGAACATATTCTCCTCTGGCTCTCGGTGTCTCTTTTCACGAGAGGGCCTGAGCAGAAGGAAGCGCGGAGCCAGAACCCCGGTCCTTTTGGGTATGTGCCCAACTAGCTCCCAGGGATCCGAAGCCAGAAACCAAAGCCACGGTGGTCTGCACGCTGCAAGAGAAGCCGCAGGAACAGAACGTCAGCTGTGCAGGCTGTCAGCCCGGCCACAGACACGCACTCTGGTCCTAGGCCCGTGCTCTTGAGGGACTGAAAGTTAATTTTAATGGTAATTGTAGGGGTGGGTAAGGATTGAACAAAATCCATAAACTGAAGCTCTTGGCCTTCGGGAGGTGATTAGGTTCAAGACAAGGCCACAAGGGAGCCATTGTGACAGAAGAGGAAGAGACTAGAACGCATTCTGCCCCACCTCTTCAAACCCAGCAGAGAGCTCTTAGCAGCAACCACACGGCTACTGCCTCGGGCTTGGCCATCCCAGGCTGCAGAAAGAGGCGTTCTGCCAGAGCCACCTGTCCATGGTATTTCCTGATAACAGTCAGCCTTAAGATGGGGATCCAGGGTCCCTTCTTTCCTATCTATTCTATGCCTTTCCTTTCTCCATCTTCAGAAGAGAACCAAATGAGAAAAGCACACTATTAATGATTTACCAGGAGCGTGGGTTTCTGGTAAATCCCTATACGTCATCTCCACCTGATTAAAATAAAACACCTAGCAGATCAGCTCCGCATGCTCCTGGGTAGGCAGGGGAGGCGTGCTCTTGGGTGATGTACACAGTCCTTCGGTGGCTCCTCTCTGGTACTATTCCCAGGCTCGGCTTCCTGGCCACCACAAGCTAAGCTCTTTCACTCCATCCTGCCCTTGTGCCACAATGCTGCTGCCCTGGAGTCTGATGACTGTGGACCAAAACCACAAGCAAACTGCGCTGTGCTTTCTTTAAATTGTGGGCACGGGGTGTTTTCTCTGCAATGAGGAAAGCTAATACTCAGGGCAACATGTTCCCCAAAGTTTCTCTGGGTGATGTAGAGACGGCTGTGCTGATGGGCTCCTCAGTGGGACCCCTGCCCGATGCCACCCTCGGCAGTTGGAACACAGCCCCGAGAGAAGAGCCTTGTATCAGGAAAGAGATGATAGAATGGTGCTAGGGAGAGGAAGAGGAAGCCAGGTGTGTCTGTGTATTTGCTCCAAAACCCCACAGTTTAAAGGCCAGGCCAACCTCACACTCCCCTGGCCCCTCATTTTCCTGCTAGATGGAATTGTATCCAACCACATGGACAACAGGTCACAAGGGCTGAGGGAGAGAGGGCAAGGAGTAGAAGCACATACCTCTGCCTGCGGTGTCACTGCCGCCTAGCGGGTCCCTGCTGTTCCCTGACGCCAACCCCATGCTGACAGAGGATGCAGCCTGATCCTGTAATTGAACACTCTGTCCTAGCTACTGTTACATCCCAGATTGAAAACAGAAAAAAATACACAGTAACCACATTGAAAAGCCGGCTCTGACCCGCCTACCCTTTGCTTTCTGTGCACGGAACAGGGGCAGAGGCCTGTTTGATGCCAGAGGATGGCAGGGTAAGGAGACCGTGGCCTTCTGCGACACTCAGCAGCCCCCGCGCTCTGCCCTCGGCTGTGTCTTCTCATTCTTTGGCTGGGATGTGGTATGACACACTTCCCACTCCAAAGGCAAAGTCTGCAGTGACACCTTCTCAATGACTTTGCGTAGTCCTGGTTGGGGCTGTGTGGATGATTTCCTCGGAGAAGCATAATGTTTTAGGCTCACATTCACTCGGAAAGGGAGAGAGAGACACAGTAGACCCGCTCAGTTGGCTTCTCTCTTGAAGTGCAGTCAGTTCCCTGCCACTGCCTCTGTTCCCTGCCCATGACCTTACAGAGTCAAATAGGAAGACGAGTCTTCCGGGAGGTACTGACCCTGAACATGGCGAGGAATGGCATCTGAATGAGTGAGAGGACCCGATCCTAGCCTCAGAGTATTTGAGAGGAGCTGAATGCAGGATTTGCACAGGAAGGGGTGGGATTGCACCAGAGAAGCAGTGCAGAGAAAAGCCCCGCAGCCCCTCCTGACCAGGCACCCACTGTAAATGCACCACCTAATGATGCTGCTGGTGGCAGAAATGATGTCACGAGTGCCTGCCAGCGATTTTGCCAGGAACAAGTCCCTCTCGAAGTGACAGGCTCCCTGTGCAGTCTCTTCCCAGGCCAGCAAAACTCTTAAGAAGCAAAATTCCCTTCTGAATGTGAAGACCGTGGCCCAGAGAGCCTGAATCCTCAAATCCCAGATGGCTGGAGACAGATTTGCTGTAAGAGCTGCTGGAGGGTCCCCTCCTCTCCTCTCTAACACGCTGGCACACAGGAGAGAACAGCCACCAGACAGTGAAAACACCTCTCTTTTCTTCATTCCCAGATCAGTTCTCTATCCTGGCTTTTGGGGATAGAGCTCTCAGATTTCTAGGATTGCACCTGGGTGCTCCTAGGAAAAGAACAAATGCTGCTGGGGTGCCAGGAGCACAGAGCCCACGCAGGGAACTGAGCCCCAGCCGCAAGGAATCCACCACGGTTCCAGACATCTGTATCCACGTGAACTCCCAGCCTCAGAGCAGAGATTCAGCTTCGCTGCTGGTCTCCTGCTGGCACAGGAGAGGATCCTGGAGAATCTGGCTCTCAGGCCCCCTCTGTGAGCAAGCCGTGCAACAGCACCCTGAAGACCAGCTGTGCCTGACAGGCTGGGAAGGGCCTGCACTCTCAGCCGTGCAGAAGAGGTGGGGGTGTTTGAGGCCACATCTGGCCATCTCTAAGCAGCTGGGAGTGGTTTGGCCACCTAGGAGAAGAGAGCTAGAGCTGCCTACACCTGCGGGCCCCCAGTGCCCCCGCACTGACAAACCAGCCAGCCAGAGGAGCTTCAGCCTGCCAAGCTCAGAAGGCCAGCAGAAAAGTCTCAAGATATTGTTTGAATTAGGTCGCTGAACGGGCTGAAAGAAGGAAGGCTGGCTTTACATCCATTGTCAGCAAACGCCCGCAGCTGTTTCTTCTGGAATATTTGCAGTGGCCCGTGTCCCTCCAGCAGCAATGAGAAAGGGTGCCCTGTGGGGCAGTGGGAGCTGACAGAGCTCGAAAAGTCAGTAAGGGAGAGCCTCAAACTTCTAGAACCAGAAAGAATAGGCAGCAGGGGTCAGCCTGCAGGACTGCTAGCTAGGAAGTGACTGGAGAGAAATCAGGGGAAATGAACTTTTAAATGAAGCAAACGTTTAACATGTAATTAATGTACATTTTTATGTCATCATTGTCACAAAATGTAAGTTTTCATATTTTTCAGGTGAGGGAGGGGGTACAGACAGTCAAAGTCACCTGGTCTAGCCTAGGAAAGTTTACCTGGGTTGAGCCCATGGGCCCTGGGCTCCTGACCTCTGCTTGCCCTGGGCTTGGGAAAGGACCCTTCCAAGCTCTGGCCTTAATTACTTATTTATTTTTTTATTCTTTCTCTCCCCTACTCATGTCTCCCTCAGAAGAAGAAAGGGATGCAGGGGCCACAGCACCAACTTCACTGTGGCGGCCTCATAGGTTTTGGGCCTGCTCCGATCTTGCTCTGTGCTATGAGATAGCAACTCCAAACTTCTGAGCATCTGCCCTGACCCAGGGGGATACCACCTGGATCCACCCGTTTCCCAAACCCTCTCTCCTGCCCCCAGTGCCTCAAAGTGCGTTGGTGGTGTGTGTGGTGGGGGAGAGGTGGGTTTTTCCAGGCTTCCTGAGGCCTTCCAGTGAGGAGTGCCTGGGGGAGGAAAGCAAGGGCCCCAAGAAAGCTGCCCCCCGCCCCCGCCCCCGCCCCTCCTCCCTCCCACACAGAGGAGCTCCACCTCCCGCTCTGCTGCCCTCCGGCGGGTCCGGGCCGCTTTGGACGCCCGTGGCCGCGCACCCGGGTTCTCGGGCTGCGAGGCTCGCTCCCGGCCTGGCTCCTGGCCGCCGCCGCCGCCCCCTCGCGGCGCGCAGGCTGCTCTCCAGTCGCGGCCACGGGGTAGCGCTCAGCCCCCCTCTCCGCGTCTCCGCCTCCGCCTCCGCCGCGCTCGTCCCCGGCTCGCGCTGCCCCCGCAGCTCCGGCTCGGCGCAGGCAGGAGTGGCTCTCAGGACGCCGAGCCGCGAAAGCAAGCGGAGGGCAGCGGGCTCGCGAGCGGCAGCAGCGACCGAGGTGGGCGGCGGCGGCGCGGCCGAGGAGGCGCTGGGGGGCGGCCGCCGCTGCTCCGGCTCGCGCAGTCGGCGAGCGCCGGGCGTCCGAGCAGGCACCGAGTCCCCGGAGCTGGGCTGCTCGTGCGGCTCTCCGTGCGACTCGCCGAGAGCTCCGACCAGGGCGCGACGGAGGGCAGAGCCGCAGGTCTCCATCCTCTCGCCGGCAGGAGGCTCTGCGCCCGACCGCCGGCTTCAGCCGGAGCCGCCGAGCCCAGTACCCGCCCCCGCCGGCCGGCAGCAGGCGCAGGCATGGGCGCGCAGGGCCGCGGGACCCGCAAAGTTTGATAGCCGGCTGGGCGCGCAGCCGAGGGCGCACCCTGCCCCGGCGCAACCGGGCAGGGGTTAGGAACCGGGAGCCTCCGGACTAGGCACGAAGGCGGTAGAGCCTAGAGGGGAGGGGAGGCCCCGCCAGATGCCGCCCGCAAAGTTGGAGAGAAGAAAACTTCAGCTCCAGGGAGATTCAGACCTAATGCTAACCGCGCCCCCCAAGCCCGGCACCCCTGAACGAAGCCCTACACCCTCGCCTACCTCGGTGCTCGGCTCGGAAGAAGTCCCAGGGGCCGGGCGCCGAGAACCGCGGTGACTGCGTCCGCCAGGAAAACCCAACCAGGGGGCGGGGAGGGGCAGGGGGCGGGCAACGTGGCCGCCGAGGAAGTTTCCTGAAGTTGTCCGCTTATTCCGGAGCTCGGGCAGTGACCTGGCCGGATCGCGCAGGCCGCCCTGCCCGGGAGAAGTCGAAGTTGGGCTGCTGGGGTGGAGGCTTCCCGAGCCCAAGAGACAGACTTTGCCCCTTTTTCTTTGGTCTCCCCTCGCCTTCCGGGTGCGCCGCCGGGATCGGACTTGGACAGCAAAGGACGAGGAAGAATTGGGGTCGCCAGCGCCGCTTCTTCGGGTGCAGCAAGTCTAAGCCCGGGACTCAGCCACGTACACTGTCACCCGGGACAGAGCTGCGGGCGGGGTACCGGACCCCAGTAGGATTATAAAGCAGCGCGGAGGAGGAGACCCCAGAGGACACCCTCCGAACTGGACATCATGTGGACTCTGCTGGTCTGGACTCTGCTAGCTTTGCATCGGATTCGCGTGGCCCGAGCCCAAGGTAGGGTACAGGGACATCTCCGCAAGGGGGTGGGGGGAACAGGAGGAGGGGTGGTCGCCAGGGCGCCAGGCGCAGTCTTGGCAGAGTCCTCTCTTGGGAGTTTCAAGAGCCCCCGCGCCCGGTGTTGGGGGCTCTCTCTCGGGCGGGGCAGGCTCTCTGAGACTTGTAGCTTCGGACTGGGGAAGGTGGGGTCGCCCGGAGAGGCTGCGCGGAGCTGGAGGTGAAGTGGGAGGGACGTGTCACCGCCCCCAGGTCGCTGGGGGTGCCTTCAGGCTGGGGATGGGGGGACGTTTAGCACCCAGACCTCTGTCCGACTCCCCTGGGTTCCCCAGGCCCGGTTCCTAGTTCCCGTTGGGCAAGGCCTTGTCGGTGAGGCGCGGGGCGAGGGATGGAGCGCGCGCCGGCGCGAGGAAGGCGCTGGCTGGGTCGCCCCTGGAGGGCAGTCGCCCTGCTTAGCCACGTATGGGAGCCGGTGCCTGGCTGCCTGGCCATAGTGCTTTGCTGCGTGGGCCTGGAGCCAAAAGCGGGTGTAGCCTCGGACCTTGGTGGGAGGGGAGTGGTGCACGGGGAGGGTCTGAGGCATCCCTCAAACCACCCCCAGATACACCCCGAATCCCACCCCTGTCTTCAGCCTTCAGGGGTCTTGGGTAGTCTTTCCGGCTTGCTATGTTGACCTGTGGCTGCCTAGAGCAGCCTGGTGGTGGAGGGCTGAGTTTGGGGTGGGAGCGATGGAAAGGGGGAAAAAGAGTGATCGCACCATCTCCCTCCAGTGGGTGAATGTCCAAACGTCTCCCCACGCTTCTGGAGGGTCCTGAAGGGGCAAGGCTCCTGTACCCGCTCTTCCTCGCCTTTGGGGTTCTCTGATACACTTGGTGGTGCCCACGGTGTCTGAGCGGCGCCTGCTGGGGACAAGGGAGGCACAGTCGGGGTTGAAGCTGCACTCTAGAGCGGAGCCTTCCCTTTTCTAGGCTCTGGAGGGGCCTGGCCCACCTGGGGGCGCCGACTGCATGGACTACAACCCCGACAGGGTCCCACTCCGCCTTTGGGGTCTCAAAGCCTGCAGGAGAAAAGGGACCCCAGTGCACGCAGTCAGGCAATTCCAAGAACCAAGATCACAGATTAAAATGAGCAACTCCAGCTCTAAAGAGTTGAGGGAATGATTTTACGAGATAATTTAGGTAAAAGCACTTCGAAATTTTGTAACAAGCTCCATAAATGTAAGGTAATAAAAGTTATTATTTTTATGATCATCATAAAATCTTCCAGCAGGCGGGGACCTCGGAGGTCATCGCATTCTAATAGCCATTTGACAGAGGGCAAAACTGAGGCTGCGTGGCATTGAGTTACCCAAGAGCACTCAGTGATCTGAGGCCAGAGTCAGGAGGGGGTCCAGGTGATTCTGAGCCACTCTCCAAAGCACCAGGGCCAGCTGCAGCTGGGGGCTCTTTGTCTGGTGTTCCTCTTTTTTAGGGAGGGATAGGAAGCCATAGTGCTAGCAGAACAGGAATGAGCTGTAGTCTATTCTTGGGCACCATGTGGGTTTATTCCAAGGTTCTAGTGCCCTTACTACCCAAATGCCAGGCGACAAAGCAGGACAGTGTGGGGCCGGGGAGATGGCTCAGTGGAATAAGCGCTTGCTTGGCAAACACAAGGGCCTGAGATCAATCCCCGGTTCTGCTAAAAAATAAATAAATGCAAAGCAGGACAATGAGACTGAGACTTCTAGCTTGCTGACTACACAAACTCCACCAAAGACCTGGCTTCCCTGGACAGGTGGCTCAGAATTCTTGTTCTGTCCAGGACTGAGCCCCTAAGGAGTCCCCAGGGCAACTGGAGGGCCTTCTTTCAGAGGTCGTAAGGTCTTTCCTTGCCTTCCCTTCTTCCATACCGTCCCATCACCCTGAGGCCAAGATCCCAGTTGGCTTGCTGAAGTTAAGGCCAGGCTGCCCACTGTCTCTGCCCTTCTTGGTTGGGAGGGGCTGCGCCTGTCAGGAGCAGGGAAGGTTGCTGATTGATTCACTCTCCCTGGCTTCTCCTGTTTGCTGCCTTTTTGAGTGTCAGGCTGCCCAGGGCCCCTGCTGCTCTGTTTGCGCTCTCTGGCTCTGAGAATGTTTGTCTGCCAGCATCGGCCGCCTCCTTCCATTTGTCTTCCAGGCAGCAGACCCTGTGCAGGATTGTGGGAATGCAGTCTCCCCACCCAGGCTTGGGGGCAAGCCTGGGTTTGCATGGAGGGTTGGGCTTCGGGCGCAGGGGTTACCTGCTTTTGGTTTAGAACGTGAGTTGCTTCCAGTCTGAAGCCATCATCACCTGGCTATACTGAAAGGCACAATTGAATCATTTAAATTCCCCACAATCTGATGTCACATGGTTCAAACTCATTTCCCAAGTGAAGTTCAGGGACATTGTAGAAAGAGCTTTGGCTTTGGCAGCAGAATGAACATGCTGTTGTGATCTGGCTTTGTGGCCTCACTGCAAAGAGGTCTTAGCAAGGCTCTCAGCCTCCAGAGCCTTGGCTTCCCTGGCTGTATGTACATTCCTCATCCTCATCCTTGTATTGGGCACAGCAGTGGCCCTGTTAGAGAGTTCACAGGAGGATGGGGACATTCCAGGGAGGCACCCGCAAATGGTCCCCATAGAAGGTGCTTCCTACTCAGGTTAGCATTGTTATTGTAATTGGTCTGACACTAAGCCAGGGACCCAGAAGGGTGCCTTGCCACCCACCAATAAGAGCTGGAATTCTTGGAGCTTTCTGAACTTCCTTCCATGACAACCTCAGTGTCTTGCAGAGTGGCCCTTAACCTCTGAGCTCCCAGGGTGCTGGTAACAATGCAGATTCACCGGCTTCCCCTGGGCACTGAGACTGGAAAGGTCTGCTGTGCCTTGCACCCTGCATTTCACCCATTTCATGGAGCACACCATGCTTGTTAGCTTGCTTGCTGTAGGAGGTCATGCTAGCATGCCTGAGAGGCTGGGAGGAGGACAGTAGCCACTGGGACGATGACCAGCTCTCCAGGAGATTCTTTCAAAAGAACCATGCATGAGAGAAAGATGAAGGTGGTGTGAGGCTAAGTGAACCAGGCAGTGGGAAAACCCTGACAAAGGCCCAGAGGTTTTAGCTCCACAGCCTCTTGGAGGGTTCAGAGGGGAGAAAGCACAGTGCAGGGAGCCAACCACAATAAAAGCCAGACAGCCCGGGAGGGAGCGGGATGAAAGTTTAATTACATGGTATGGCTAAGCTGTAATTATTAATTACTGACAGCAAAAAATAACTTATTGATCAGGGCCTCTTGCTAATTACCAGGAGGCCAATGTCGTGCTTGCCTGGGGCTAAGTTGTCAAAAGCCCCACGGAGAGCGGCATAGGAAGTGTCCCTGCTCTACCATTCCCCCTTCCTATGTCCCTCTCTCTCTCACCCTGTGCTCCCCAGGCCTCAGTTGGGCATCTTTGTGTGTTCAGATGAATAATAGCGTTTGGAGGTTCCACTGGCTGCAGAAACCCCTCTCTGGGCTGAAGAGTTGGGACCCCACCCAGAATCATGCGGACAGCCTGCACCTGCTGCGGAGACCCCCCCCCCCTTTGCATGCATTTGTTCAGCAAATATTTATCGACCGGCTCTCCCCTATGTCCTCTGCTGGAAGGCTGGAGTAGGGGCCAGGAACCTTGTTCCATCAGGATAGGAAGGCTGGGAAAGAGGCCAAATCCTTTACAGCAGCCCTCTGTTTAAACAGGGCCTGAATGGCCGCCCATAGGATGATGCGTTAAATGGCCTGTTGGTGAGCATTTGACCTTGGACACTGTCAGACACAGTTGGGCAGCAAGCTAAAGGTATGGAAGGAAGGGCTCTCTCGGTCCTGAGGATCATGGAATCATTCTGTTAAGACTTGAAAGACATGTGAAAAGTCATCCAGAGCTTCTTCTGCCTACAAACCTGGACAAGAGGCCCTCTGGGCTGCTTGTATAATCTCGGTGATGGAAAGATCACTACCTCATGCAAGTGGTTGTTAGATAATTATGTTTTATATTGGTGAAGGCATTGGTGTCCTTAGGGCTGGTTATCCTAGGATTTGCAGACTCAAGGGGTCCTTTGATCGGCTAAAAAACTTCTTCCCCATCCCACCCAAATCCTGGGCACTTAGGGAAGTCAGCAGACTGAGTGGGAGTGGAGGCTGGGTGTCAGTAAGCCGCCTGTGGGATTTCCACCCCAGAGCACATTGCTGCAGACAGCCCGGGAGCTGCCTACGGCGGTGGGAATTAGTCATTGCCGTAATTTGGGGCCTCGGGATGCCAATAGCAACAAATGGGCCCCACTGCCTGCCACTGGCGGCCCACTGCCTGTAATGGAAAGGAAAATAAGCCACTTGCTGAGATGTCCTGGGTTCCCTTCCACCATTCCAGCCCCTGCAGTCCACAGGCTGGGAGAAGGCAGGGGCTGGGACCCTTGCTGGGGGAGACTGTCCTGGGCTGCTTGGGGCTCTGGGGACAGGGAAAAAGGAGGTGTTGAGCCTGTGCACCAGTCTCCCTGGTGGGGAGTGTGGCCAGCACAGCCCTGGCTGAGCGTGGAGCCCAAAGCTCACCCCCCAGGCCCTCCTCTTTCAGAGGCAGGAGGTCTCAGGAGGATGGTATCCCCCTTGTTAGCTCCTCCTCCTCCTCTTCCTCCTCCTCCACCACCACCATGTGGCACAGAGCTGAGCCTCCGTTTCCTCATCTGTAAAATAAGGAAAATAGCATTTAAAATATCCACGTCTACTTCCTAGAGTTGTTTGGGTGACTAAGGGCAATTGTTCATGTCACTTTAAAAAATGCTCTTCTTTAATATTAAGTGTTGACAGTGTTCTGGCCACACAATGTGAGGAGGACGGCAGAGTCTGCCCCACTTTCTCTCCCCACATCTGAGCCTCCTCTGCTGCCCTACTGCATAGGTCCCCTTCGATTAGTCTGGCCCACACCCACCACCTTGCTCTTTCTAGAACTCACAGACCCTCTGGCCTTGAGCGCCTCCT